TCATTGTCACCTCCAGACTTTCCTAGGGCAGCTGACCTGAACTGAATGTTATTTCCTTGGAGGAACTGTAGGCTGGCTCCAGGCACTATGCTGAGCAAACACATCTATCCTGCTTCTGGAACCTGCTCAGGTCAGAAGCAGCCTGGCAGTGTGGCTCAAGCCAGTTCTAAGCAGAGACAGCAGGTGTTTCAATGTCATGTTTCCACAACAGAGCACAGGCATTCATCTTGGATCCACCATGGATGATAACACACTAAAATAATATGCCATTCCAGAGCCCAAAGCACAGAATGGGGTATTTATTGGTTTTACATGCCAAGATTTTGGTAGCAGGAGGGGCTAAAGTGTGGCTTCTGCAAGAAGACAGGTGTCAGGCACTTCCCCCACGTCTGACAGAGCCAATGCCAGCCAGCTCCAAGACAGGCCTGCTACTGGCCAAGGCTGAGCCCACCAGTGATGGTGGCAGTAGCTGTGGGACAAAACCTGCTGTGCAACTGCAGCTGGAAGAGACAAGTGAGCATGTGTGAGAGAACAGCTCTGCAGACACCAGGGTCAGTGAAGGAGGAGGGGCAGGAGATGTTCCAGGCACCAGAGCAGAGATTCCCCTGCAGCCTGTAGTGCAGACCATGGTGAGGCAGCTGTGTGCCTCCAGCCTGTTCCAGGCAGCAGAGATTCCCCTGCAGCCTGTAGTGCAGACCATGGTGAGGCAGCTGTGTGCCTCCAGCCCATGGGGATCCACAGCAGAGCAGAGATCCAACTGCATCCCATGAAGCGTCCTACAGTGGAGCTGGTAGATGTGCCTGAAGGAGGCTGTAACCTCCATGGCAAACCCAAGCTTGATCAGACTACTGGCAGGGCCTGTGGTCAGAGAAGTGCACACTGGAGCAGGTCTGCTGGCACGACTTGTAACCCCATATGGAACCCTGGAGCAGGCTGTTCCTGAAGGACTGCACCCTGTGGAAGGGACTCGTGCTGGAGCAGGTGAAGAGCAAGAGGAGCCAATCAACAGCACAGATAATGTGTGATAAATGGACTTCACCCCCAATCCCTGTCTGCTTGCAGTTCTGGAGGGGAAGTGGTAGAGAAATTGGGAATCATGTTGAGCCTTGGAAGAAGGGAGGAGTAAGGGAAGGGGTTTTGAGATTTGTTCTTATTTCTTATTATACTACTCTGAAATTAACTGGCAATAAATTATATTAATTTTTCCCAAGATGAGCCTGTTTTGCCTGTGATGGTAGTTGCTGAGTGATCTCCTTGTCTCAAGGCATAAGCCTTTTGTCATGTTTTTCTTCCCCTGTCCAGTTAAGGAGTGGGAGTAAAAGCGTGGCTTGGTGGGTTCTGATGTCCCATCAAAGTTAACCCACCACACAGAGATCTCTCTGGCCCTACAGGAAATCTGAAAACACGGACTTTAAAACAAAGTAGTCCAAGAACTCATTCTACTTAATCTACCACATGGAAGGTTAAAAATATTTGTTTTAAAGTCCTTACAACTCCTTGGGGAGAGAGTCAAGTTGAAATACTTCAGACCAAAGAGACAAATATGTTTCAAAATCAGCTAGCAAAAGTATATGAAAAGAGCAACAATGGAAGTTAGCCAATTAGCAGGTATGTGCCTGGCAGTATAAGCAGCCAAGGAAAAGTTACTGAAGGCTGTGTGGATTCTCCAACCACTAAACCAAGACTTCATTTTTCTAATGAAAGTCCTTGTTCTAACTCAAACAAGAAATTATTTGGAAAAATGTTCCTAGTCCCTTGCAACAGAGAACATGGTAAATTATTGCAATAGTTTTCTACATAAGATACATCTCCGGAAAACAGAATTATTGATCTACCAGCCCTTCTCATTTGTTGTCAGCTATTTCACCATTCTTACCCACTATTTTCTTTAGTGTCTTATGTTTTGCTCCCTGAATCTCAGTGGTGATTCATCAGCAGGCTTCCTAAGCCTAATGCAAGTTGTCTTGCAGCAGTGCTGCTTCTGCACCTTCAAGCACCATCCTGTAATGACCTACCTGGAGGATCTGCTGCTCCAGCTGCAAGTTGCCTTTGCACAGGTTCATTATGTGCTGCAGCAATAGCTTTGTACTCTCTGTTTTCCCAGCACCACTCTCTCCACTGCCAAGAAAAAGCAAAAGAAATTCCAGCAGCTGTATAGTTGCTCTACCCCTTACGGTTTAGTGCCCCATCACTCGGGAGTGCATTCCTCTGCAGGAGTTTCACGAATTTTTCAGCAAAATTGCAAGTGTGAGTACAAATTCACATGCTACAGCTTTATACAGGGGGTCCCATAAGGTCCTGATCCTTTGTCAGGGGAATTTTTCCCCAATCTGCAAGGGAGCACTGATATACCCCATGCTGTCACTTCTGCATGGGATGCACCAGACAGAGTAATTGCTCTGCTTCTTAAGAAAGCAGAAATCTACCTTCTGGAAAACAGCCTCCTTCAAAAGTCATCTGATACATCAACTCCCTCACACATGCCGGAGTCAACAGCTCCCTCTTTTTCCAAGGCGATTTGCCCTGTCCCTATCACATCCACTGATCTTGAGATACTGTGGCAATCTCAGGTCTCAGGTGCTTCACACATCCACATGCCTCAGCCAGCTGAGGAAGAGGCCAGACCTCCCCAAAGCTGCACCTCACTCTGCTGTTACACATCCACAGCACCTCCGCCTCCAAGTCAAACAACCAGCATTTGGAAAGTGCAGTTTCCCTTGTCCTGGGAAGGGGAATGAATCAGTGAGCCAACGAGTCCTCGACTGACAACATCATACTGGCTGAGAACTTCAGCATACACATGGGAAAAAAAAAAGGGACAGGAAATGCTGCAGGTATACTCGAGGGCAGATCTCTGTTTCCATACCTGACCTTTGAGCATGTCGTGTGGCTTTACAGCTTTGTAGCTCACAGTGGCTCTGTGCTTAGGATCAAGTATGTGTCATAAGTGGCTAAAACCCTCAAATACTACAGCAGATACCTGAACAGAACAGAGCAGGGCAGCACCATCTGAATATGGACAAACAAGATAAGACCATTTTGCCTGTTGAGAACAGGCCACCCAAACAACACCCCTGCTCAGTATGTCAGATGGGGTTTGTTGTTTTCAGTAACTTCCCTCCTCCACAAAAGAACTATCAGTCAGCGCTCCCATGGTGAAAGCTTATCCCTGGACCCTCTAACAAGAACAAGAGCTTCACCAGGTCCTGTGAGTACTATCCAGCTGCAGTTGTGTAAATGCTCCAGGCTGTGAAGAAAAGCAAAGTCATCTTAGGGTGACCCAAGTGCTGTACTACAGCACGCCCTGGCTATGACTAATGTCCTTTGGGATTGGAAAGACAAGAAGAGCCAGTGGAATTTGTAGCTCAGGACAACTTGGTAGCCATGAACATTTGTCATCTCATCAATCTCTGAAACAGATCTACTAGACTAAGCTAGAGGCAATAAAGAGACCACAAAGAACAGCAGAGCCTGGTGTGTTCTCATGCTGTTCTGATGAACTGTGACCTCTTCCTCCTCCTGCTCCACCCCAACTTCGCTCATGTCAGGTAATCTTGTGTTTCACCACTAACACAGAGCAATACCATGAACTTCCTGTGATACCAACACACACCAGTTAATAGGGTAGCAAGATGCACAGGATTACATCAGACTCTCACCTCTGAGACCACAAACTGCTGGAAGAAAACAATCAGACCACTGACATTTTGGCAAATATTCACAGGTTATTCTTTCTTGTCTGCCATCTCCCAAGACAAATGCGATGACTGTTCTCTATCCCCAAAAGCCCTGCCAGCAGCACCATTTCCACTTGCTGACTCCACAGACACCACTTCCTGAGAGCACTTCAGGTAAAGCACAGGCACTGATGTCCTTGCAGGCTACAGAAATGACTGGAGCTCAAGTGACCCTCAGGGTCAGCTCCCAATCCCACCAAAACACTCAGCAGTGATTCAACAATTCATTTCCACACCATGTAGGCTAAAAGTACTGATAAAATGATCAGAAGACAAATATAAAGAAGGTAATATTAAATCAAACAAGCTGTCAATTAACATTTTAACTGTGATGACATTTAAACTGTCCTCTACAATACCCAGAAGAGGCTGTTAGTGTTTTGAGGCTTTCTCCTCACTGTATGAGGTTTTCTCTGCTAGCTGATGTTGTGTGAGCCCCTCTCTACTAGTTGATGCTACCCGCTGCCCTGCAGAGTTTCAGCAGCATGGTAGCAGCTCACGTCACGGAGTGAAATGTCTGTGATACTAGTAAGCTCTTTGGTTAAAAGAGCCCAGTTTTTCCGCATCTACCACACAGAACTGCCCATGACAATAAAACTCTCCCTGACCAGATTCTCAAAGGTCTTAATGCAAACCCCCATGTTTTAGTTCCTCCTGCTCTTTGGTTATATATGGGAAGCTTCACTTCATGAAAACAGGTTCCTTCCTCTACAAAGAAGAAACATTATTACACTTAGTATTACATTTATCAAGGCAGTTCTTGCTCGGCAGAGAAGAGCACCCCATGGCTTTCCCCAGAGTCGGTTAAATCTTTCCAGCGCCAGATCCGTATTAAAACTGACCTATTTAGCATCGCGACTGGTTCCACGAGAACCAGCTCTGTTTACCACACACTGTCGCGATCTGCCCCTCTCCTGCCTGGAAAGCCAGTGCACATGGGTTTTGACTCACCCA